TCTGTACAGGTTCAATTTCTTTTGTTTGCTCTGAGAGGTTTAGGATGGAATTCAAATGAACTACTCCCACCTTATGAGAATCGGCTTAAACTTATCGATCTTCCTACACTAGAGAAAAGGAGATTAATGCTTAGATGTATTTTTATCATAAAACTTTTGCGTGGTCAAATTGATTCTGAGTTTTTAACTGGTGAAATTAAATTCAACGTCCCCTCGCGAAATACGCGTTATTACATACCACTTAAACTAACATTAGCAAAATCGAACTATGAAATAAATAATCCTCTCCGAAGTTTATGTGCTGATTATAATAAATTATACAACACGATTTCTTTGTGTGAACCCTTGCATTTCATAAAAAACTCTATCCTACGTTCTTAGTTTATAAAATAGTTGCCAGACTTAGTTTCTGTGATTTAGTATTTGTATTGTTTAGTTTTACTGTAGTTTAGTTTAGATATTTTAATTATTTTAATAGTTAAACCGGCTGATGTTCTAATGTAGCCGGTTTCCCAAGTCTACTAACCCCCTATAATCCGGACTATGGGGTGTACGTGCTCCCTACGTTATGGGGAGGTGGCCCTCTCGGTCGGCAGGGGCGGGAAAGTGAGGCGTTGGGAACGATCGAAAAAAAAAAAAAAAAAAAAAAAAAAAAAAAAAAAAAAAAAGTAAATGAACGGACATTATCCATAGAGGTAGGTCTTCTTACATGCAACTTTCTCTAACTTATCTTACCTTGTCTTAGCTGTACCATGGATTTATCTTCAATAAAAGTACGGGAACACAACAAAAAATTATTTTCAATAAAAATACTCTGTTTCAGAAACCAATGCAATGCGAATAAAGTAACAAATTTCAACATTGACAGAACTTTTTTGTATGTTGAAAATGAAAACAGAAAAATCGCGAAAGTGTGCAATTGGTAGAGCTAAATTTAAATAATAAAAAAATTAAAATTATTCCAGTGACAGCTCATTATATTGTTTACAAGCGTACAAAAGCATTTTAGTGAGAATGTTTCAGAAAAAAGTTATTCGTGACGGAATAGCGAGATAGGGTGATTTCTTTATATTTGGCTGGAAAACCACAAGTGGCTATCGTTAGAGCACCCCGGCATTTAAATGTGAATAAATCGTTTGTGTCTCGTTACCTTGATACTGGTAGTGAAAAGTAAAGAAGCGACTTGATCGAAACCCCCGTCGCATGTGGCCGGAATATGGCTCGTGAGCTGAACATATCGCAATATTCCTTTTGGCAAATATTGAAAAATGAGCACGGGGTTAAAGCCATTGAAATTCCAAAAAGTGAAAGAACTTACACCGCAGCAGAAAGAAAATAGACTCAAAACAGCTAAAAAGTTGCTTCGCTTGGCCGAAAGTGGTGAACTGCCGAATTTGGTTTTCTCCGATGAGAAAACATTCGTTGTCCAGTTTGTAAACAAACAAAATTATCGTGTTTACTTGGCAAAGAGGTCAGCTGAAAATGTGCACCTTCGGTTGGCCTCCAGAACTCAAGCGCTGGCCATGGTAATGGTGTGGGCCGCCATTACAGCCGATGGTCGCTCTCCGCTCGTATTAACCGTATTGCAAAACAAGGGGGGCACTAAAAAATACCAAAGTGTCGATCATCTCAAGCAAGCGCTTCGCCGAGAATGGGCCAAAATACCGCATAACAAAATTCGTACCGTGCCAAAGGTGGCCGATTCGAACAAATCTAAACTTATTTTAAAATTTGAAGCCATTTCCGACATTTTTTGCTTTCATTCAATAATTTTTTTTAAAAAATAATATAAAGATTATGGTGTATACCTCTGTTGCAAATTTTTCACAGTTTTCTAATCATGTGATTTGTTTTGACTCCTCATTAATTCGTTCTTTCATTCATGTTACCATATTTACAACGAATAATGAGGTTTTCACCAAATCGATCGGAAGCTAAAACGAACACGATCGAGTTTGAATTACGCATGGTAGAATTACAAGGTAACCCTTTCAGGCCAGCTGGTATCAATTTGATATGTCAAAAAATTGTTGTAATTTGAATTCGCCTTCATTTACACATAAGAAAATTGTTGCATGATTTCAAACTTTAACAATGCTATTGATAGAAAATCGAGATTTTACGTTTTTATATAGTATGAGGGAAAAAGTGTATATTCAACATATGGTAGGCATAGGTAATATGGATATGTAAAATTCGTGGATATTTAAAATAAGTGAAACAGGGAATCAATTTCATATAGGAAATAAACCGATACATGGAATTTCATCATCTTATTTGTACGGATTTTCAACTATGTTGTACACTACAGGACTTCAACAGTGAAAGGTGAATGATTCCAAAGCATATTGGATTGGTTTGGGGAACAAAACATTGGCAATTTTTGGGATGTGATTAAATATTGAGATAATTATACCCTACAACACTATGTGTTGGGGGTATTATAAGTTTGATTGAGTCAGAATTTATGTAACACCTCGAAATATTGATTTCCCACATAGGAAAGTATATATGGATCTTCCTATCTCGCCGAGCTGAGTCGATCTAGCTATGTATGTCCGTCCGTCCGTCTGTCCGTCTGTCCGTCTGTCCATGTTAATTTGTAATCACTCTACAGGTCGCAATTATGGCCCGATCCTTATGAAATTTTGCACGAAGGTGGGATTAGGGTCAGAATAGAAGCCTATTTCTTTTGGAGATGATCGCCAAATGTTTAGGGGTTGAAATGGACCAAATACTGAAAAAATGTCGGATTTTGCAGTAGCTATACAGGTCGCAATTACAGACCAATCGACGCGTAATTTCGCATGTAGCTAGAGTTTTGAGCGGGGAAGAAACCTACCAATTTGGGTGGTCATCGGATAATATTTAGCGGGTAAAATAGGCCATATCTTTTTTGTTGAAAAATTCAAAATTTTTCATTAAACCGCGAATATTTTAAATCCCGGCGAAATCACAAAGCCATGACAATGTTACTTTTGATCTTTACATTGATGTTAAGATCCAAAAAATCGAATATATAGCAAATATATGCGTTATATATGTCTATCAAAGAAGATATGCTTGAAAGATCTCACATATGTCGAGAACGGCTGAACTGATTTCGACAGTTCTCATTAATTCAGAATGGCCTCTTGGCAGGAAAGGAAACACGTCTAAAAAACGCATACAAATATCTATCTAAAGATAAAAATATTGATTTTGTAATATTTTCTCATATTTTTTCCATTTTGTCATATTTTTGGCATATTTTCATTTTGAATTAAACATTTGGTAATATTTCTACAGCTAACAAAACTAAGTAGTTAGGATATCAGGATATAATATACAGATCGCATTTATGGCCCGATCCTTACGAAATTTTGCATGGGGATAAGATGAGGGTCAGAATAGAAGCCTACTCTTTTTGGAGATGATCGCCATATATTTAGGGGTTGAAATGGACCAAAAAACTGCAAAATTGTCAGCAGGTCGTAATTATCGCCCAATCCTCACACACATTTGAATGGGGATTACCGGACATTGCAAAAGCCAAGCAGTTTGGACGGCCATCCAAAAATATTCAATGTGTGAAATAGTTTGCCAAATTTGTAGACAATATACGAAAATGTCCATTCCAGTGACTTTTTGGAGAATTCACAAATACAGGAAAGACGCACTTCTGACTATTTTTTTAACGCTGATTTCGAAGAAGAATGTAGTCAAATGTCTGTATCTGATATAGATGCGTTTCAGCCAAAAACCAATAATAAATGTTAATCTTTTGCCACTTCTGAGAGATTATAGGTCTTTGGGAAATATTGGTTCCAGATCTAGGAAGACCATTTAAGTGCAACATCTACCAATAAATTGGAAATGAGCAAATTAGTTTAAGTTGCTATTATTCGAAAATTAGAGAACGAAACCTGATGGTTTTCTTTTATTATTTGTCACAATATCTTGTGGAATTCTTTCGAGTATCTTGCCTATATAAACTGTATCGTTTATTATAGTGTTGTAGGGTATTCAACGGTCGGCCCTGCTCGACTGTAGCCTTTGCTTACTTGTTTTTTTATTTCAAATTGTTCGAATGTATTAAAGTTATCTATACATAAAAGACTTCCTGTCTGCTATACATTTCATAGCTGAGCAAATAATATGCGTGGACTCACAGTAGACTCAGCCCCCTGTATCTTCTGCAATCTTTGATCCAAATCTTAAGTAAGCCTGAGGAGTAAATATACCCTAAAGTACCTTTTAGGTAGCATGTCACTACAGCGAGAAAGCTGACGATGTAGCAAAAGAAAAAAGGGTACCCAGAACCACCACAAAACCTAATTTCAAAGCATCAAAACTAATTTTCCGGATTCTTTCTTGTAAAGATCATTATCGCTGTTGAATATGAAATCAACGTTGCCAACGTTACCAAGACTGCATGCTGTGTAAGGATGATGAAGAGATAACAACGATTGGACATCTATTATCGCAAATGTCCTTCGTTGGCGCGCTGGAGACTGCGCATTATGGGCGATCACTCCATTTCCAGTCTCTGTGATTTTCAAAAATGTTGTATTGAACGTGCTATAATCAAACCAAGATGCAGCGGCTTCAGCATTACTTTCAATCGATGTTGAAAGTTTTGAATATTTGCTTTTGTAATAGAAAAAAAACAACAATTTTGAAAATTTTTAATTCAATATTTTGATTGGAAAAATAATTTGCCCCAAATTTTGTACTTCAAATCAATTCGCCCTGAAAACAACTTTGACATATCAAGTTTCCAAAAAAGTTGCTTTGTTGTAATTTTCGCCTATGTTGCTACCTGGTATTTCTACCATGGAATTACGGAATTCAAAACATTCCGATTTGTTTTTGTGGCGTGCCTGAATATCTATGTTTTGTCAATTTTTGTAGGTTTTAAAGAGTACAAAGACCCCCTTTGAACATTGGCATATTTATGTAAATATTTATTTCCAGACAAACACCTGCTTTTAAACCCCGAATTAAATAGAACACAAAAATTTGTTGGTTATTCATTTTTTATTTTCAATTTTGTGATTTATAAAAAAATAAAAAATTAATTATTCATTTTTAAATCGACAACATAATAATTTAGTATTAGTAATTTACAAATATTTATTTTAAATATATTATTACATAAAAAAAAAAACAAAAAAATAAGTAGTTATTTCTTAAACAGTATTAATAATATTAAACTTACAATAATGACTTTTAGTAATTTGTTTTTTTTTTCTTTCTTTAAATTATTAATTAATGATAGTATTATTAAATAAAATTAATTCGCATCTTAACAAAAATTTAAACAGAAAAAAAACATTGTTTATTCTACTCATGTATATTTGGAGAATTTTTGTTTCTTTTTTGACACGCTCGAATTCAGAATTAAATCCGATAAGACTCTATTTGAACTGGCGATTTCAAATAGAACCTTATCAGATTTTCAAATTCGAAAATGTCTTTAATTCGATAATTGTTTTTGTTTTGGTTTTTATGGTTTTCATTTCGCAAATTTTTTGACTTAAAGCACTTGGAGTGTTGATCTATAATAGTTGTTTATGTACAAAAATAAGTTTTTCTTTTCAAAAAAACAAAAAAATAATAACACAAAAATAAAGAAAGTGGTAGATATATTCAATTAAATACAGAACTCTGTAGTGATTGCAAATTAAAAGTAGAATGGAGTTTGTGTTTTAGTTATAGTTAAATTAAATTAAGTTTAAAGTATACATATATATACGTTTCTATATAAATTTTGTATAAATAGTAAAAAGTAGCAATAGGATTTTGTAGTACAAATTAGGGAGGTTTATGTCTTTTTATGAATTTGTGTGTTGGTTGGTTGGTTTGATGATTTTCATTTCCATCTTTATAGCTCTAACTATTGTCTAGTTATTTAGAATGTCTATTTGAAACCATTAATGTTAAAAAAACATCTGGCGAAAATGGTTTCACCATAGAAATCATATGTTCTTGCATACATTTCAGACAATGTACAGCGCTGCTTTCCGTGTGGTGTGTATGTTTGTAAATTTATACTTATATATATGTGGAGGAGTGTGTGCTCAGTTAACGTTTTTGTGTTATAGGTAGTTTGTTATCAGATAAAGATTAAAGGTATTTTAGAAATGTCAAGTAGTAAGTTGGGGGAAAATAGAGTTGGGTTGTTTTGTGTGTTTAGACGTTTAAATTTAGAGCCTAAATGGTTCCCTCTTTTCCACTGGCGTTGTACCCCTTGATGTTCTGCTACGCATTGTTGAGCTAAATGTAGGTTCAGCCGAACTCTTCCTAGGTGTTTGCATGCCCGAAGGAGTCGATGTGCCACTAATATTGCGCCTATAGATTGGTGTTTCGAGATCACCAAGAAAAAAAAAATAAAACAAAAAAAAATTAGAATTTTTCACACTAAATATCAAATAAACATACAAAGACAAACATAGAAATACAAAAATAGAAAAACATGCTAAGAACAGTAACATAAAATGCTTAATACAAAAAGGAAAAAAATAAGTCCATATAATTATGTAATAATAATAAACAAATAATTCAAATTTTGTGAGAACTGTTATTACATGCAATTTAGCTTTTTACCAATTGTTATACCCTCCACCATAGTATGGAGGGTATATTAAGTTTGTCATTCCGTTTGTATAACAGCATAACATGCTATGTCGATTTAGCGATGTCCGTCCGTCTATCCGTCTGGGGAAATCACTCTACCTTCCGAACCGAATGAAGTAAATTGATAAAATTTTGCTCAAATGTATATTATGTCTGCAGTAAATTGGTATTGAAAATGGGCCATGTAGGTCTACGTTTTGGTATAGCCCCCATATAATGGTACCTCCCGATTATTCGACGGTATTGTTTCAAATTTGGTATTTGATGTTCGTAATGTATGCCACAGCATATGACAGGAGATTGTCTGTTCAGATCCACGTCATCGTATAGCCCCATAAAACGGTATCTCCCGATATTCGGTATTTTGATAATTTCAACGACATTATTCACCGGAATTGTTACAAATTTGGTATTTGAAGTTCGTAATGGATACTGCAGCCTAAGACAGAAAATTGTCTGTGCAGACATATAACGGTACCTCCCGATATTTGGTATTTTGACGAGTTTAGCTACATTATTCACCGATTTTTTTCAAGTTTTTGAGAATTGTCAAATTCGTTCCAAATGATGGAGTGTATTTAAAGTTCGGCCCGGCCAAACTTACAGCTCTTTTACTTTTTTATGATAATGCCTTGTGCCATTTACAAATGTCGAGAAAATTAATTTTGATATATTAATTTATTTACGATTGTGCTAAATGACACAGAGCTTTTCAGACATTACCAACTCGACAATATTCTTAAAAATTGTTTTTAATAAAAAAAAAAATAATAATAATAATAATAAAGTTAATTGCTAAAAAATTGTTCACTTGTGAAACAGAAGATACTATAGGTAAAACAATTTTAATGACATCATTTTGGAACATCAGCAAAAAGTCGAAAGTTACAACTTGTTCAGGTAGTCGACAAACTACGAGAACAAATCGAATTGCGTTTTTATATCATTAAATGTTCTCAAGCGATCAAAATAAGAGGAACACAATCTTGATAACATATTATCATTATCATTAGTATTATTTGTAAAGTATCAAAATTGCAAGCATTACAAAATCTTAAAAGGAAAGCCAAAACATTTTTAAAGTAACACATAGCAATTGGACAGCGCACAAAAGAAACGAAATAAAAAAGGCATAATTACTTTTAAATTTTAAACGAAAAGACACAACTATAATTTCGGCAAATATTTGCATTTGCAGCTCGATTGGGAGCATATTTTTGTAGGAGCTATAGGAAATCTTGCTACAATACATAACATTTATTCTTGTGAAAATATGTTGTTGGCTTTACCCCAAGCTAACATTTGGATTTAGACTGTTTACAGTTGAACTTGTTGGCGAACTGTTAGCACTTAACGATTTATCAAATGAGTTTGATACTTTAACCGGTATCTTGGATGGACGATAGCTTTAATTGTAGGAAAGATATAGACAATTCAAAGAATGGTAAAATAGAATACACAATAATTAATTTACTTTGTAGAAATAAAATCAAATATTAGTTTACTTTAAAAGAACAACAACTATTACTACTAAAGAAAATAGTGATGAAATGTTATACTCATAACTTATATATGTCGTTAAATAATAGCAATAATAATACTAATAAAGTGTAAATGAATTGAGTTTAATATTGTTGGTGATTCATTTGTTTACCTAGGTTTATAACCATAGCCTGTTAGTGCTGGTATGCTGGATGATCTACTCATGCCTCCGTTTCTTTGTTTTTGTATTTGGATTATTGGTTTAATTTATTTATGTTATTGGATTGGATTGGTTGATTGGTTTTGCATGATTTGTTTTAGTTGTTGTATGTGTTGCAGTTTATTATGGTGTAGCAGGTTGTGTTTGTTGGAGGAGGAAGGTCAGGGCAAGGCATTGCAGGTCAAATTGTATGTTTGATGATGGTTGATTGTTAAGTTCATTTTATGTGTATGTTATTATTGGTTTTAACGCAGGTAAACATGCCAATATATGATGTATTGGAGAAATGTTTGTTCATCGAATTTGAAATAAAAATGTATAAAATAGGAGAAAATTAAAATAATTGAAAAGGGAGTTTTACTTTTTTAATTAATTAAATTGCCGTCTAGTTGGCGCTGCAGTCAGTGACAACTCGAGTCATTGGCCAATTTTATTAAAATACAAAAGTTGTTCTTTCAAAAATACACGTTTGTGACGTTTAACTTACCTAGTGGGTGCGGGACTGGCAGATCCGGAAGCAGTTTTTCGTGTTATTGTTGTTGTGCCATTTGTTCGAGTTGTTGTTGTTGATGTCACCGACAGCCTAGATGGCCTTGGAGTTGTGCCAGTTCCAGAGATTGTGCTGGCTGCAGACTGTTTACGTTGTGGAATGCGAGAAGGCGTGTGTTCATCTGGGAAGTGGAGAGAGAAATTAATACCAATGCAACATTGTTTCTTAATTAACAGAAAAAAACGTACCAGTGCTATCTAGGGATAGTGTCGAACCATGGCGTGATGGGGGCTTGGACCCTTGTCTACTCAGGGGCCGTGAGTTTGGCTTAGAACCTGCACGTGAGCCACTAGGAGTTAATCCAGTACGGGTGCTGGTATATGTAACCTTGCGTGGTGTATAGCGTCCTGAGGCATTGCCATGACTTCCCTCGTTGTCACTCAATGAATCGGGTGTTGAGGCAGATAAGGACGAACGTGTTTGCTTCGTCATTGGTATTGAACGACCGGACCGTTCACGTACCTGTGTAGATTACAGAGCATTAATATTTTCACAGAACATGTAAATAAGGTAAAAATTAACGATGCATTTATGGATCTACTGTGGTTACACCCCAAATATATCCGATTTTCCGTATTTCCTATACACACTTGTGCGGCAGACTTTTCCGTTGTCTGTCGTTGGGTTCGTAGACCGATCCGTATTTTGTATAAAACTTACCCAATGTGTTGTTGGATGACAATGCATTACATGTGGACTTAAAGGTACTGAACGACTACTATTGCAACGTACAAATACGGTGCCACCGGCGCCCATATGTATTGGAAAGGCGCAAGGTACTTGCTCTTGTGCACGAATACGCTCAAATATTGGCATAAGTTCAGCCAAATGCTCGTCAGCTGTTTGTAATAATTGCACAAAAATATACATTTGTTGTTGTAGGTTTATTTTGATTTTGACTTTATATCGATTAATAGAATGTACAAAATTGCTGTAATGATCATTTAATAAAACAACTTTATTGTAGGCCCTAGGCCTTTTTAAAACTGTACACAACGATACATTTTCTTTTTGTCGTTTCAATGCCCTTCTGGTCAACAGTGATGGCCAAGTTTTCAATTAAAACTTGGCGTATAAAACAAACTGAATAATAACTCGTGATCTTTAGGAAATAATACTTTGTTCAGTGCATTAAAAACATTAACTGCTTCGTAGTGATAATCTTTTGCTTAAGCTTTTTATGATATAGCCGCTTGTAAAACATAACTTTTGTATAATTTTATACAAAATGATAAAATTAAAAAAAAATGAAAAAAAAAAAACATGCTGCCAGATTACAATTATAGGAAGTGATAGAATAAAAAAACACACACACATATAATGCATAACTTTAGTTTTTTGGTAATAATATTTGAGCTTTTTCTGCAATTCGAGTGCAGGTTGTAGTGCTGGAGGTACATACATATGTATTCGAAATGCTAACACTTACCTTACACAACACACATAACGCACATGGAACCACAACACACGCATACTAACGCGTATCTAACCATTTTAATAAAATTTGGGGTGATATCTTGGGGTGGTGTTAATTTAATGAGATTTGTATTAGGTTTGTATGATTCTCACTTTACTTTGAGGCAATAAATGAAATACTCCTCTTGAAAGCTATTTTATTTACCTTAATTATGGGACCTTGTGAACTCATGTAGGGTGGCGTGTTGCTGTTATTGTTACCATTTTGAGCAGAAACGGATGCTGCACGTTTGGGCGTAAAGGAAGCCATGCTTTGCGAGACGCCATCGGCCAATATAAATTGCTCGCGTAATTCAATATTAGTACGTCCTTTAGCTGAATTTTCAATATCAAGTTTTGATTTGCAATTTGTGTTTGTTCATTTTAGTTTTGGTTTTGGCGAATAACCCATGTGACACAAGCGGCCGTAACACAACATAATAACAACAACAACGATATTTCAATTTCGATTAGCAGGCATCATGGAATATCATTAGAAATGCGCGCAGGCATATTTAAAGGCGCATTCAATTTAATTTCGAAAATATAATAGCAATATATATTGCAGAGTTGAGTTGAAGATGTAATAGAAATGTTACGATTAACATTTCGGTGTATTGATTAATTTCACATTTGCCATAGCAAAACAAGGAACGTTAACGGGTTTAAGAGATAAAAAAAAAAAAAAACAAAGAAAAAAAAGCCAAAAAGGAAACAAATTATAAAGTTATTGTGAAACATAAGAGCAATAAAAGCATAATATATATAAATAATTTTCACATACTAAAACAAACAAAAAGGCGTTACAACAAGTCATACTATGGCTGTATTAGGGAACAAATATATGGTTAATGTAAAAGTAAACTCTCTGATAACGAACTTTTTTCTGACGAAAATCCCATTCCTAAATAAAAATATATATTTCTTCTCGAAAATGTTTGTTACCTCTAATGAAACTGGACATTTTTGTATGTAAGTAATACGTACCCAAACTAAAAAATAGTGTATTTAGCTGAATTTAGAATGACGCTAGACGAATTCCATTTGAATGTGTTCGATTATATTTAATATATCCGAGCTAACGTTGGTGTAATATTGGTGTAATAATTGAATTTTCATTGGAAAATTCCAATGTATTCTGATATTTTAGTTTACAAGAGTACAAAAGCAACATTTTGTCACATACACCTTGGACTTAACGAACGTTCCAGAGAGAGTTCCATTATATTAGAGAGTGTACTTATATATTAAGCATATTGTTTTAAAAAGCGTTACAGAAATGTTGTTATTTGAATGAAACAAAATATACATAAATTAAGATGCGGCGGCTATATTTATGTGTGTATGTGGTGTGATTGGTTGGTTGGTTGGTTATACATGAATATATGGCATACAAGTAATGAAAATGAAACATAAAATAGCATGCATTTCACGGTGTTAATAATGCTGATAGAAACTACAATTGATGGGTATATATATTTATTGAATTATAAGAAACAAAACGACAAGTAAATAAAGCTTTTCTTTCAATAGTAAATGATCACGTATCTTCAAAACCAATTAGAAAATGGATTGATCTGTATAATATTTGGTTATTCATCTATGATGTAAATTAATGGAGACGGAACCTGCCCAATAATAAGTAGGCTTGTGGATGAACAGTTATACTTTCATTTGTTTATAGACTTTTTAGTGTTTAGTATCCGGGTTTATTTTTCCCTGTTAGGGTCGAATTTTTAGACTGTTTCTTTTATCAAAAATGTTTTGTTAAATGACCATTTCCGCATTTTGCAATAATTATAGACATTAGACAAAATTAATAAGAATAATGGGTATGTGGTGATGGCTCGTGATAAGGTGATAATACTTATGACAATGAGTTTACATGTGAACTACTTGAACTAATTTATCATTGCTCAATTATATTTAACGCCAACAAATTAGTTCAACGAAACATTCATAGAGAGATATCATCACGTCACAATCTGGTGATTGGTGATGATTACTACAATGAACTTTATATGTAGATTAGATTGTTATATAATAATGTTTTATTCACCAGATCTTTAGAATATAAAGCATTAATTGATTAATGAAACTTTATGAATATGCGTATCACCATTTGTAATAGTTTAAAGTTACAATGAAGTAGATATGTATGTATGTTGTAACAAATAACTTACCGCGACAAGGATCGTTCTTTTGCAGGAATTCATCCAAGGCGACCCAGCCGCCACCAACACGTACCATAACGGTACTGCGTAATATACGAACCAAACGCAGTTTTTGGGAATCGCCAAACTATAAGCATGAACATTCATCAATGTCAAATATTTTTCTCTTCATATATTTACACTTATTATACAACATACCCTGTATTTGCCTTCACCGACTTGGAAGACACGGAATTTCTGGCGACATGTACAAAGCATTACCAGACGTTTAACTTCGTCATGTATTTTGTCGGAATCAGTTTGTGGTTTACGTTCTTGCCAATCGGGACGAAGAGCGGCAATAAACTCTTGCCAGTCAATTAGTCCTTCGCCATTGCGATCAAACAAATCGGCAACTGCGCCCATTTCCATGCGAGAAGTGTCAAATTCTACAAAAAAAAAAAAAAAAACATTTGAAACAGGCATATAAATAAAAACGAGTACTCCAATCACACATTGAAATTAAAAGAAATGTACTTACTGGTGCTAAGGATGCCATCAATAAATTCGCCTCTAGGTACAAGGCCATTGTTATCTTTGTCCATTTTGCGGAACAAATCGGTCAAACGAGATTTTTTGTGATTCATGTGCTTCAAGAACTAGTATATATGAAAATAGAAACGCAATTTAATAAGGGGCTCATCAAAACAAACGATTCTCTAAATACGACTTACTCTCTTTCTCCAGTCGTCCCAACTGAAGTTGCGGACGCGTTCCAAATCCTTCAAATACATAAGGTGGTCATTCAAGCGGCGTTGGCGTTCCCATGAAAGCATCCACACATGACGCCATTTGTCCCACAACAATTTGGCTCGAGTTGAACGGAATTCAAGTTCAGGACCCACCGAACTAAAATAACGAATTAAACAATGTAATATTAAAAATAAACAAATTCTCAACACCAAAATTTTGTTTCAACAAAAACAAACGGATAGGTCAATGCAAACACTACAAAGTTTATGAAAAGACAAGGACATTGTTAGCAACATGCTCACTTACCTGGGTGAGAAGCGGGGACCATAGTGAGGCAAGCGATCTCTATCGGGTGTATCACGACTTGGTGTCATGCGACTACTGTATGTTGGGAAACATAGCAGAGCAGTAGCCGAGCGGTACGAAAATGAATGCATACAGAAACAGTCAGACAAAATAAAAGCATACAAGGAACAGATAAAGACAAAAAAAATGAAAGAAGCAAAATTTAAGAAAACAAACATAGAGCGAATTTAACAGAAAAAAAATCACAAGACACAATACAAAATTCTTGCGAAAAAATGAAAAAGTGTTATAGTAACGTCGTAAAATTACTAGCGCTAGAGTACGAAAAATTATTCAAAAATTACAATGTGCGAGAGACTGTGAAAACTTGCTTCATGGGCCTCGGCAAACTAATGCTTTTAACGACGTTACTACGAGACATGCAAATCATAAATATGATCAAAATGACAAGACTTACCTAGATTTACGATTGTTCAGACCATGGTCACGAGAACCCTTGAAGCTGTTAAAAATAAAAAATATAGAACATTAGAAATACGCTCATTAAGAGGAATATGCTTATGTAAGTAGGCAATGTAACACAACGAAGGAAAAGCATCAAATGGGTTAAGCTAAGAACGATGGTAATTTGTTATGTTTAACGTGGTGGACGTGGAAATTGACTTTGTCGCAAAGTGATGTGTTTGTAATGTTTTCAAAGGAATTCCGAGAATGTTGAAATGAATGCGGTTAAAACCGTTATTATATGTTGTATTACTTCTGAATCTATTGTTAGATTGTATTTATTGTGTTAAAATTTGTTTTTTAAATGGCTCGAACACCAGAATACAGAAGATTTGGAATTTGCCAAACGATGTCATTAGTTTCAGTATACATTTCTAGTAATGTTGTTGGTTGTTTGTTATTAGGTAATTTAAATGTTTAAAATGTACGACTGGGAAAAGGATTTGTTGGGAATTTTCGATACGCATTATGCAGTACTCATGCCAAATGTTGTAAATGAATTAATGTATTAATGATAAGCAACATTTGCTGGATTGATTTAGACGATAAACATTTTCGAATTAAGCAATATGAGTGAGTTTTTTATGTTGTTGTTTTTTTTTTTTGTCAGAAACTTTTGAACGAACCTTTGTCGTCTTAATGTACCATCGGGTGATTGTTCACGTATATCATGACTTGAGCCACGACTTTTATTTGAAAATATGATATAGATTTGAATTGGAGAGGGGGGAAATAAAAAATTAAAAAAAGAGAAAATAAAATAAAATAAAAATAAACAAACAAAACAAAAAGTGCAAACATAAACGTTTTTCATTGGCTATATTCATGTTCAGACGTTGAACATTTTCACTTACACAGGTGTTTTGGCTGTTCTTGACATTTTACGGGCACCAGGTGGCAACTGCTTGGGTTTACAAGCACGATCGACTTCGGTTTGTCTCCTAGCTGTGTTCTCCATAAACTCTTTGTGATCTTCAATTAGTTTTTCTAGTGGCGGTATTTCATCCGGCAGAGATTCGCGTTCGAGGTCTACAAAGGAAAAGACATCATATCATCATGTTGCCATTCTAAATATTGGTTGTTCCGTTTTATCTTACTCAGTAATGTTGCCTCTAAGCCACTTAACCAGGCAAGTAGCTCCTCGATGGTGTCATCTAAATCTTTAAGGGATTGCAAATGCTGTTCCAGTTTTGCTTCACGATTAATGGCCCACTGTTTGACTTCTTCCCAGCGTTCCTCAATAATGCTCAACCAGTTCTTGATGATGGGTATGGCATCGGGATATGCCTTGCCAATAATATCCTCCGCAAATTCGAATGTTTCATGTTTCTGTTGTTCGCGCACATGGAGATCTTTCATGAATTCAATGTGCATATCCATCATTTCGCGGGATATCTTCTCGTCGTCCGGTGCATTCTTGGCGTATCGCAGTTTGTGCTCGGCATGATCTAGCCAATCGAAGAGGGCTTGAATGCTGCCATTCAGTTTTTCAGCATCCTTGAGGGCAACTTGCAAGCGGTCGCCACGTTTAGCTGTAGCACTCTTGACTTCATCCCATACTGTCTGTAACTCGTCCAATTGACGACCAACGTCGGGATTATTACCAGAGCGTTCCAGATCACGGCCGGTCTTAAGCACACCTTGCATTTGAGCGGCACGCTTTTGCAAATCCTGTTCAATATGTTTGTGGTGTTCACACAAGCCTTGAACTGTTTCCAGATCTCCGTGAACGGGACCGTCTTCATTTAGGCGCTGTTTAGCCTTCTTGAGCCATTCCAAAAGTTCTCCAAGAGCATCCGAGAACTGACCAGACAATAGTAGAGCCTCTTCTAATTTACGCTGACGCTCAATACTCTTCGACAAGACCCGCGTCCATTGATCCTTCAGTTCGCATAACATTTTGCCGAGTACAGCTTCGTCAGTCTTGGGAGCTCTTTCCATCAAATTCTTACCATTACGCATGGTAGAATCGTAGAGGGTTTGTTTGCCGGTTAACTGACGATGGGTATCCTTTAATCGAGCAATACATTTCTTGATCTTCTGTGGATCCTTGGACGATGTAGCTTCTTCAATGATCTGATCAAGCACAGTTTCCGTTTCCTGCAAATATTGCATCATGTTGTTCCAAGCATCATTAAATTCGCGCGCTTCTTTGTATCCATGATCCAAAGCACGAGTGCGTTCCGCAGCCTTACTGACAATGCGTTCCCAGCGATGTTGTACCGATACCAAAAGATTTTTAATTAAGATAACATCTTGTTTCTGGCTGAAGTATTTGAGATGAGTTCCTTTCTTGTCCAGCAATAACATAGCTTCACGATGTGTGCTAACATCCTTTTGCAGGACCTTATGTTCTTCCATTTGTACTTGAATGGTTTCAAGGACTCTTGAGACTGGCTGGGCATTGGCTAATTGTTTTTCAGCTTGATTTAACCATTCCACAAAGGCTTGCAGAGTGTCATGGAATTCAGTGGCTTCTTTCAAGGCAATTTCCAATTTGATTTTCTTGTCAGATGCCCTTGAAACGACTGCATCCCAACGTTGCTTTAGAGTACGTAGAGTATGTTGCAAGTTACTGGACGAAACCTTCATTTGATTCTGACGTTTAATGTATTCTTGGCCTTGAGCCTGGATTGTTTCAACCTTTGGACGATTCTCCTCTAGTTCGTTGTACACCTCCATGAAGCGCTCTAATTGCTCTGTAGCTGTTTCTGGTAAACCTCCAACTGGTTTGCTAGCCCCAATAATAGCGTCAACATCGCCCAACCATCCAAGGATATCCTGAACTTCGGCAATATAACCTTGAGCTTCACGTAACGATTCTTCCAATTCATGTTGTCTATCAGATGCTTTTTGAAGCAACATTTTCCATTCTTGGTTAAGCTTGCGTAATTTTTCTTGTGTCGTTGAAGCTTCCAGCGAACCCTTTTCGGATTCGATCAGCTGACGGCCTGCATCATTCAATGTATCAACTGAGTTTTGATGAGCTTGAATATCATTGGCCAAGACCTTCAGTTTAGCCAATTCAACTTCGAGTAACTGAGGATCGCCAGGTATCTGTCGGAAAAAAAGAATGCTTATAACTGTCCCATAATCCAATTTACATACTCCATCTTGAAAAACTTACGGGTTTTAGTTGATCCAAAGTTCCATCTGTTTTGCTAATCCAAACCAAGAGTTCATTTAGAGCATGTTGGAATTGACCCAAATGCAGCAAAGCGTGTTCCAATTGTTTTTGACGTTCGACCATGCCTCGTAGAAGGGCTTCCCATCGGCGATTGACTACAGCCAAAGGTTCGCGTATCGAGGCCGCTTGTTCAGGAGAAGTTCTTTCCGTTAATTCAACAGCTTGTCTGTAAATATTTTGGTATAGTTTTTAAAATAGACACAACAATATGGAACACGTTTCAAAACATATAAAGCGGTAAAACATGCATAACAACAGTAAATATAGCTAGTTTTTTTTTTTAGAATTTGAAAATTTTAAATTGATCCACTGTTTGTTTCTTATTTAAGTTTCAAATGTATCAAAATTACGGATTCGAACATAATTCTCGTTTTTTTTATTAATCTTATATTGGCTAAAAAGAAATGGTTAAAAAATACAAACGATGTATTTTAAAGCTGTAGCTTTGCTTTATAACTATATGAAATAAGCTTGAATCATCATCAAAGGATACTAAGCATTTGGAACGTGATCATGCAGAAAACAAGAATTAAAACGATTAAATAAACAACAAAAATTCATTTTATTGAACATTCATTTCTTGCCTTTCTAAACCTCTGCCAATTCAGAATTAAGACCAAATATCGGATGACGGAGATAAATTATAAATCAATTAAATTATTTCTTTGACTGTTGATTTTATCGAGTACCAACATACCTGTTTAATGCCTCTACTTCCACCATGTGGGGATCCACTTCATCCTTGAATGACTTCAACTGCTCGATTTGTTTCTTGACGGCATCGATGTCTGAGCCTACTGGTCCTAAATGAGCGAACTTGTCCTCAGCCTTTGTTAGGAATTTCAAGAGATTTTGTAGGGTTTCGTGGAATTCCATGGCCTTCTCCATGGCATCAATGAGATTCTCTTCGCGTTTGGCATACAGAGCGGTAATATTATCCCAAGCATTATCCAAATCTTCAATGTGTTTTTTAACTTCGGGCTTGTCGGGCTCGCCGCAGAGGTTCATCAGATTGCTGCCATGGCGTCTAACTTGCTCAACCTCAGGTTTCGTTTGATCAATTTCGTGACGAATTTCCTGTAGGGCTACCTGTTGTTTTTGGATTTCTTGAGGTTGTGCAGCTGGAGGCTCTTGTGAGGACAAAGTCTCTTCCAGATCCTTCAGAGTTTTCATAACACTTTGCAGCTGATTCCAGAATGGCTCGGCAACATTGAGTATATCATCGAGTGAGCTGCCACGTTTCTTGGTTGCTTTTTGAACATCGTTCCAAAGATTATTCAGTTTCTCTAATTTGCTCTTAATGTCCCGCACAGCAGGATCCGATTTGTTGCCAGCCTTAGCAATGACATCGCTGGCGGCGCGTTGAACGGCACTAAATGCATCTGTACGTTTATCCAAATCATCCATAATCGCATCATTGTCTTCGATTTGTTCGCGTATTTTTTGTGGCAATGCCGACAATGGGTCCAATTGGTTGACTTGATCCACAGTGTTGGCCAAGGCGCGTAACATTCCCTCAAGTTTATCTGAAAATTGGCTTGATTCTTGCAGAGCATTGTCAAGGGCTTGCTGGCGTTCTCTCAGCTCTAAGCGCAAGGCAGCATAGCGTGCATTATCCGAGTCTAGAATCTCATTAATTCTTGCACTGTCATCATCGGCCACCAAGGCTCCCAGAGCTTCGCCCGTCTTGTTCAATTTGTCGAGCAAGGGTTTGTGTTCCGCAATAGATTGCAAAAGACGCTCGTTCTTATCCTGCTGTTGAGTGATCTGGTCTGGGCGTAAAGCTGGCATGCTTAGTCTGGATAGTTGTTGTTCCATATCATCCAACCAAGTGGTTAGACCAGCATGCGAGTCAGCAAAGTGTTCGGACAAAGGTAATGCTTGTTCCAGAACGCCTAAACGTTCACTGCACAGTTGTGCTACGGTATCGACGATTTCCTTGAGATCGTCCAATTTTTCACGCAATGTAGCGGTGTTTTCACTTTGAGGCGATTCTCGCAAGACCTTCTTGGATGCCGCTGTTACGTCACGTACACGACCCTTTTGGCTGGAAATGTCATCGTTGACTGAGCGATGTTCCTGCAGTTGAGCACGCACCAATTTTGGTTCGATGGCCGGTGGATCGGCTTCTCGCAAATTAGCATCCATTTCACGGAACCACTCCAGGAGTTCATCAATGTCATTGGTCACTTCCTTGGCACGCTGGTTACTTAAGTGAAGACGTTCTGCCTTGCGTTGAATTTGTTCGACGATTGCATCAAAGCGGCGATTGTCGCGTGTAACTATTGTTTCAATGGTGGAAGCGCCTTCGCCGGGGGAGATTTGACATAGTTTAGGTCCAACCAAATTTACACAGTCAAGTGTTGGGCGCATTTCTACCAGCTCAGCTTCTAAGCGCAGAACATCAGATTGTCGTGGTTCACTCGTGGAAAGGGCGCTCTCTGCCACTTGCATCCAATCAATCAGACGAGTGTGAGCTTCATGGAATTGTTTAACTAATGGGAGAGCATTTTGAGCACTATTTAGGAGATCGCCGCCACGATTTGTCAATTCGCCGTAACGACGCTGCAAAGAATCTAACTTATCCTTCAATTGAATGGCCTCATCGTTCGATATGTGTTTCATGAGCTCGGCACCGGAATCCACAGTCGATTCTACATTTGGGGCGTGATTGGCAATATTCTCATTCAATTCCACTAAAACATCCATTTGTTCCAGCAATTTTTCAGCAAAGACTGGAACAGAACGGAATCTTTTCAATTCGGTTTCCATGCGTTCCATCCAAGCCACCAATTCTTGATATGTCAAGACCAGATGCCTGAGACCTTGACGGGAGTCGGCCAACAAAGCACCAATATTATCGCTAGCGTCAACCAATCCTGTGTAGCGATCTGTTATGGTGCGGACCTTTTCGCCCAAGTTGCCAGCTTCTTCATCACTTACCAAATGCATTAACTGGCCAGCCACATCTGCCAAATCAGAGAAATCGGGTTTCTTTCCCAGAATTTCATCGTGCAATCTTCCATGTTCCCGGATGCGCTGTTGAATTTTCTCTTCGTCGGTTGGGATGAGTTCCATTCCCTTCACAGCTCGCTCCGTGTTGTCCAGCCACAATTCTAATGGTGTGATCTTGTCGTGGAAAAGTTTGGCAACTTCCATTGCCTCCTCCAGATCTTTCTCTCTCTGTTCTGCGCCATCTGTTAAGGCATCAAAACGTTTCATCAGATCATGCAATTGCTTCTCAATTGCGTTTCTTTCGGAGGGCTCACAATGATTGGCAACCTCTTTGCCAAGTGACGATAACGATGACATGGAATTCTGGCGATCCAATAACATTCTCTTCAGGAATTTCTGTTCCTGCAATTGGGCCTTTACTACCTTATAATCAGAACTGGGTGCCTTTTGATTGGCAACCATCTCTTCAGTATCGGACAGCCATTTGGAGAGGCCGGCTAAGGCTTCTTGGAACTTGCCCGATTGCAAGAGGGCAACATCTAGGCGTCGATCGCGTTCATTCATTCTTTCTTTAAGATCGTTCCAACGATCATTCAACTTCTCAAGATCTTTTTCGATTTGGGTAGTGGACACACCACTTGCAGCTGATCTGACCAAATCGCGTCCGGCCATGTTTACTTTGTCGATGTTTTGTGCCAACGGTTCGATTTTATTTTCTCTGAAATTGCGGAAATCTTCCTGTTGGCGACGAATTTGTTCAAGTTCGGAGCCCACAGGTTTCATGCGACGGAACTCTTCGCTAATATCTTGAATGTCGTCCATCGTTTGTGATTCCATATCATAGAATTCTTGAAGTGAGCGTAGAGTTTCTTCCAAAAGTTGGCTGTGATCACGCACACGGTTGTCCAGGCGAGCTAATGTTTTCCGTAGAGTGGATATTTGTTCGCGAGTTTGGGCGGTATCTGGTGAGAATCCGGCGTCGACTAAAGCATCCGCAGCCCGTTCTCCATCCTCGATGCGTTCGACAATACGTTCAAGTTTTGTTTGAAGTTTGTAGGTATCATCGATTTGGCCTTGAACTCGCTTTATTTCACGTGCTGGCGGGGAAAGCTTCTCAACTTCGTTTTCTATGTCGTTCAGATCAATACCCAAGTTCTTTATTTGTTCGTTGAATTGCGACACAGCGGTCGCTGCGGATTGTAGTTCGCCCAAGCGATCATCCAATCGACTTTGTAATTCTCCAATGCGATCAGCAATGCCATCAACATCATCGGTTAGATGTTCTGCATCGCCTCCGGCAGCACGGGCTTCAGCGCAGATATCCTTCGCCATTCCCTTAAGAGTTTGCAGAGGTTTCTGCAAATTGGTCAATTCTTCGCGTATTGCTTTGACACGGTCCAACAGTTTAGGATCCTTAGCAGCTCCACCCAACGCATCATGGGCAGCCAGGCGATCTTCGCATCGGCCAACAGCGTGGTCCAAATTGCGAAGTTCATCATTGAAATCGCCTAGACGACGAGAACAATTCTCAATTTCCTGGGCCCTGGCGATCAAATCATTGTTAAGACGTTCCCAACGTTCACGGATGTCTTGCAATTCACTCTTAATCGGATCCTTATCCACGTCACAGCTGCTTAGGAATGTTTCGCCCAATCCTTTAGTGTTCTCGTATTCACCCGAATGCTTCCATACTTCACTACGGAACGTGTGCAGATCATGCAAACGTGTGTCCAACTTTGATTTCGATAGGACGCCTGGGTTCAAATCTACTAACTTGTCCTCCGCAGTTCTTAGCCATGCCAAAAAGACTTCTGAAGTTGAGACGTATTTCTTGCAGTGCTCCATGCATGTTTGGAGGCGTGTGTGACGGTCAACGGCTTCACGGCGAAGTTTCTCCCATTGTTGTTGGATGCGTTCCAAATCGCGTTTCACGCCACGATCTTGCTGGCGGTCGGTGAGATCCTTGCCCTTGTTGATGAGCATGATGACTTCATGTTCACGGGCCATGACTTCACGGTAGATGGGTTCGTGAGTGTCAATTTGATGTTGCAATGTAGGCTTATGGGCCGATACCAACAAACGTTCCGCCAAATTAGACAGCTCGGCTGAGAGCCAACCCAATGTTTTTGAACAGTTTTCAGCAAAGTGACGGCCATCTCTGAGGGTAGCTTCCGTTTCAGCTTTCTTCGTGTCAAGTTTCTTTTGTAGCGCCTGATATTGCTTCTCTAAAGCAGCAACACGCGAATTGACATCTGCACGAGAGGCTGGGTCACCAAGAATATTGCACAGTGCAGCGGCAGATTGTTCGGCGTCAGCCAATAGCGGTCGTTGTCCTTCCAATTGCCGCTCAAGATTCTCAATCTTTCTCAAGTTATCCTGATGATCACCATCGGAGGGCAAACTGTCAAGATTATCGCTAATTTGCTGCAGAGCTTCGCGAAGCCTATTAACTGCAGCGTCAAATTCCTTGCTGCTGTCAGCTGCACCTCCCAAACTATTTGCCCGTTCATCCAGGCGACCAACTAAGTCTTCCCATTTGCTGTTGACGTCTTGCAGTTTCTTGTTGACTGCAGAGGCGTCTGGCGAATCGGCTTCCAAATGATCTAGAACATCGTGGCCGATTTCTTGGAAGTGCTTCAGCTGTGGCTGTTGTGTGCGGAATTCTTCGCGCAATACTTGAACTTGCTGTACTTGACTTTGGACCATACGAGGATCTGAGGAAATCGGACCCAACACAGTGAGCATGCGTTCTTTGCTGTCCAACCAATTCTTCAGGTTGTTATGTGTGTCTAGGAAATCTCGTAGCTTCTCAGAGAAGTTGATTCGGTTCTTGCAGATGTCGCTCAGCTGCTTCCACTTTTCGACAATGTTATCGTTTTCGACGCGCAATTGTTCTGCGCCGGGGACATCCGACTTACGTCTCAATATATCCTTAATTTGAGTTTTGGTCGTGTCCAACAGACTTTGTTTTTCGTACATGTCTTCCAGGATTTTGCGTGCTTGCTTTATGCAACGGTCAGCCTCATCCTTATTCGATACTGACTCCTTTGGCAGTTGGCGCTGAATGCGCTCCAAAAAGGCAGCCAGGTTCTTAAGGTTTTCAAATTGTTTGCGGACCTCCTCGTTCATGTTGTCGAGTTCGTTTTGGCGATCATTGATTCGGACACCGATCAGTGTGTAGCGGTTATTGATTTCGCTCAGTTGTTGCTGCACAGGAGATAATTCTGATAGTTGGAAGCCATCTTGAGAGGATCTGCGGCTACCAAATCCACTGGAACCAGTCGATAGTGGCGACAGAATACCCCCCTTCGTGGGACTTGGACTACGAGCATCTCCGGACATGCGGCGCAGAGGGCTGACACGTTTAATGGGGCTGAACGTTGAACGTTTACGTCCTGGGCTTTCCGGTCGTATTAGAGCATCGTACTGCGAACCAATGTCATTGATTTTATCAATGGTGGAAGCATAATCCCTATAATCCTTATAAATGGGCTTAAGTTCGTCATTTTGTTGGCGAATTTTCTCCAAATCAATGGCAACTGGCGCCAGTCCTGTGATACGAGTTTCGGTGCTTGCTAACCAAGACAAAACTTGGTCTTTTAGGCTTTCATACGCCACTTGATGTTCGGCCTTTTGTTTCGACAATTTGGTTTTTTCATCCAAACTGACATTGATGTTACGCCATTGTGACTCGAGCGCCTTAATGCGATCTCTCAATGTACTGGTGTCGGTAACATCGCGAATACTGATTAGATCCTTGCCATTGCGAATGCAATCTTCATAGGCAGGCGAAAGAGATTCTTTGCGATTGGAAAGTTCCTGCATGCGATGTGCAAGTTCTTCGGCCGATAACAAACTTGTGTCACGACTGTCGAGGGCATCTTGCAGTGTTACAATCTCTTGTTCAACGCCACTGAACTCATCCAAATATTTGCACAAACGATTAAAAACATCGTCAAGGAATTCGCCACGCTTAACAACCTTATCGTAGAGCTTATCAAATTTGGTTGTGACATCATTCAGATTAGTTTCTACCTTTTTGGCTATGCGAGCATTGGAAGCAGTGTTCATTAAATGCTTGGCAGACGACTCGACACTGTCGATGCTGGCTTGATGCGATTGCATATCTGCCAATAAGGCTTTGTGCTCCCTTATTTGTTCTTGCAAGCGTTCCTTAATCAAGGAAGCTGGTCTTAATTGGAGTTTGAATTTATCTTCGGCCTGGTTGACCCAGTTACCCAGATTATCAAGAGCCTCTTGCACGCCCTGCGATTGAACCAATGTCTTGTCCAATGTTTTGCAGTGTTCTCCCAACGAATCAAGGAGTTTCTGGTATTTGTCCTTGAGATCGGCAATAGGAACCTCCAATTGATTAATTTCCATAGGGCTAAGTTGACCACCAAGAGTATAGAGCAAGCTATCGAGAGCTTGTTGAGCATTATCAACTAAACGGCCATTTGAAAGCAATTCATTATGCAGCGCCTTGGCTTCATTCATTTGCTCCTGTACCGATTTCGGATCGCCAGCAATGGGCTCAGCAATGACGCGACCAACACGTGGTTGGGTACTACGCAACCATTCATTGGCCTTATCCAAGGCGTCTTGATATTCCCGTTGACGACCACCAAGTCCAGATATGCGATCCTGGAGGGCATTGACACGATTCATGAGATCCTTGTACTGAGCCGAAACCAAAGACACTTCCTGCCGTATGGGACTTTCAGAACTTGCCAATGGTTCCACATGAGGCAGTCGTTCAGGCAGTGAGGTTCTGAAATCATTTAGAATTGCCAAAAATTCCTTGCCTTCGTCAACAAACTTTTGAGCAGCCATTGTGATGAAACGCAAATCTGCCTGATGGCCAATAACGTCACTAACAAATTCTCTTACAGATTCAGACTGGGAGGAAAGACGCGTCAGATCAGATAAAGCACGCTCTTTGTCTTCTAAAGTGCGTCGTGCTGACTGTAACCATTCTGAGAACACATCCAATTCGCTTCGCAGTTTTGTTAGCTCGTCGCGGCCGGCTTCCAGGCGACGCAAAAGACGCACAGTACGATCGTTTACACGATCGACACGGGAACGTAATTCTCTACCGGCATTTTCCAATGTCGTAACTTCCGGTGCTGATAAGACATCGCCGCCAGTTAAAACAATCTGACGAATCTGTTCAAGGCACGTTGCAACTGGTCGTTGTTGAGATTCAATTTCATCCTTGATTTGCTGTAAAAAATAGAAATCAAATCGAATTGAGAAAAGGATGCATTTAATGGATTGTTTCCAATTGGTTTACCTTTAGAGCGTTGATTTGATTGCGGAGCTCATCAATTTTCTCCCTGGGGCCTCCAACAGTGGCAATTTTGTGTTCAATGCTGTATACCCACTTAAGCAGTTCGTTGACGTTCTCTTCGCACATGTTGAACTTTTCAAATACGGCTTGCTATAGGTGCGTAAAAGCAAGAAGAAACAATTAATAACATGTCATTAAACAAATTAAAAATTCCTAAAGCTTGAAATTAAAAAAAAAATTAAAATTGTATTTCGGATATGCAAAAAGGAAGTAAAACTAATAAGTATGTATGTATAATATAAAATAACAATATTATCCTAAATAAAAATTTGCAAACTTTTGAACACAAAATATATAGACTAGCGGGCGGTATAGCGTTCAAGCAAAAATGTAGGTATGTATGTACAAAAGCAATTTTTTTTGATTGATTGAAATATACACGACGACAGGCGTTCAATGTCCAAGTAATATTTAAAGCATAAAACATAAAATAACATTGAATAAGGCACCACAATAATAACAGCAATATTAGAATAGACATGTAGACTAAAAGCTACTACAGGTCTGTTAATGTGACTACAACTACTTCTACGTAATATTACTAACTACTTTTGTTCGCTAAGGGGTTAAAACACCAAACTACCAAATTTATTTTTTGTTAAGTTAGAGAAGCTTGGTTAGCTCGGCTGGAGTTATTATTATTAAGCGCTTAAATACAAAACAAGAAAACAACGAAAATTTGAAACTGGAATATAAAATCTGAAAAAGTAGAAAATCAATATGAATGAAATAATAAAGAGATAGAAAAATCATTATAAATGAAAAACTTATGCTATAATTTATCTCGCCCAATAAATAGAACAAGTGGAAACAGTATGGATGGAAGGTGTTGCAGAGGGGAGAAGAAATCTCAAGGGTATGTCTAAAGAGACCAAAACAATTTCGGGATAGTTTACTAGCAATTCCACATCACATGCCAAAGAGGATCAGAGGGGGAAAAGTAGGGATTTATTATAATTATGTCTCAAACCCCCATTTAGAAAACAGGATAATTATTATAAATGATCTTTACACAGAGGGACTGACAGGGAACTACATTCAGAATAAAAAAACGCGCAAATACCTGGCATATTTTAAAATTATAAGTGTATATTATTATTTGTATATGTAAGCATTATATGTATGTATAATATGCATGTACATTGAAACATTGTAGCGTTTTTTGCTGTTGGTTTTAAACGCTCAAATGTTGTATGGTCTTTCTTCTTATTTTTCTTGCCGACGACATTTATGTTGGAGAATGTATGATACGTACAGCATCCAAGGAGGCATATGATAATGATGTGATCGAGTTGTGTAAAGTATTTAAAGTAGGTCTGATGCATGTGATTCGATCGTTGATGTAGTAGTGATTGTTTGACTGATTTGTGTGAAATTGGTTTCATCTTAATTGAAGGATAAAAAAAAAGAAATTTGAAGAACACCATGCTCTAACAGACATCAGGTGAAAAGGAAGGGAAATATTGAAATCAAGAAACAGTAGAAATTTTTAAACTGAGGGTTCCTTATTTGGTGAGCTAATTATCAGAAAATATATTTTATTAAATAAAACCTCTTTTCATTTGGGGACAGATCAAAGAAAAATCGAAAGGTAAAAGAAGAAACATAGTAATAACAGTAAACATGCCAAAAATATCAAATACAAGCTGAATACATGTAGAAAATTTCGATTTTTTTTTAGAGTCATGAAAGAAATGAAAATAAAAAAAATATATATTGAGCATACATGTAGAAATAGCAAAAAGACAAAAAGAAGCATTTGTTTTTTTTTTCGTTTTTTTTTTTTTTTTTTTGGAGCATGGTGAACATTGCTTAGAGAGGCAGAGCGCAAGAAAGCCCCACTTATAACTTACCCTTTGTTCAGCGGCCAATAGATAGCCTTTTTCCGATGCTTTCACCAAATCCATATTAGTTTTACTGTCGTTTGGATCACAAATACGTCCGTCGTGGGCATCAATTAGGCCATTTTGTATGGCCGCTGTTAGTGGTATAATTTCGCCAGTCGATGGATTCCTTACCACCGTCGACGACGGATCTATTAGGCCAGCTGTTATAGCTTCAGCCAAAGTGAATTTTTTACGCTTTATAATATCCGGATTCATTTGGAAGGGATCAACAAAGCATCCATTGGTGGGATTGTAAAGATTAAAAGCAATGGCTTCCAGTAAACCAAATGAACGTTTTGGCGTTACAATCAAGCCACTCTCATAGGCTTCTTTCAGGGTGCACAGTTTTGAAGTTTTTGTGTTCAAAACATTCGCTTTATTGGCATCCATAAGACCTTTACGGAATGCCTCGGGTAGGCGTACCAACTTCGATTTAACCAAATCCTTTACCAATGCCGAATCAGGATCAATAATACCCAAAGTGGTGGCATCTTTCAGAGTATAAACCACAGGCTCATTTGTTGTTGTTGGTCCTTCGCTATTCTCATCCACATCGTGTTGTTCGGGTGATTGTGGCGTTTTAGTGACTGGATCGTGATATGTTAACATACCGGTTTCCAAATCTAGACATTTGATTTCGGCAGCATGTTCAAATTGTATGGGTTCTCTGACGTATATCACCAAAGTGGGATCAAATACAAAGTACAAGGCTTTTGGATCAACTACAGTGCGCTTGTTCAAATCAACAATGCCTTTTTGTTGCGCGACCTCGAATGGAATGAATTTAAACGTATCAAAATCACGTACCAACGCCGTTTTTGGATCGATTATATTGTATTTGATGGCTTCTTCCAATGACATTTCACGTGGCTTACTGACGACAATGCTTACCGGAGTTTGGCCTAACAAATCGACACTGTCCTTTACTACCTCAGCGGTTCGTTCGGTCAGTGGTTTAGCTACGGTAATTAGAATTCCGCGAGATAATGCAACGTCATAATTATATGCCGACTGTGATTTTGGATCAAAAACACGACCCTTGGAAACGTCGACATCGCCATTGGCAATTGCTTCATTGAGTGGCGTTTCTTTGCCTGTCACTTGATTCTTGAACACAGTTGTTGCTGGATCAATGAAACCGTTTTGTATCGACTCGGCTAGATCGTAGTACTCGCCCGTAGTCGGATCGCAGAATTTACCCGTTTCAGGTCTAAACAATTGCATACGCATTACAAGTTCCAAACACAATAAACGACGGTTCGAAACGATGAGACCACGAGCGCGAGCCTCTTGTAAATCTATTTGATCTGTGGGACTGAGGTTATAACAACCCTTTGTGTCGTCAATAACCTGTTCCTTGATAGCCTGTGCCAATCGTATATACTTTCCTGTTTTATTACTCTTTATCAGACTCGAAGATAGACTGACAACATCTTCAACACAGGCTTCGTTCAAATTCAACTTACGCCCGGTAACCGGGTGTAAAACCTTTCCCGTATGTTTGTCGTAGAAACCCATTGCTAACAGTTCGTACAGACCAAAACTGGCGTTTTCAATGTCTACAATTAGGCCCAAGTTTAAGGCTTCGTTCAAGGACACAAATGTGTTGCTGCCGGGTTCACGGAAAACTCCCTCACGACGATTTATGATGCCCATGCGACAAGTATCGGTCAAGCTGTGCATTTGTTCTTGAATTTCGTCGAAGTAGCAGGGTAATTGCGGATTTATGACAAAGCTGCGTATGCTCTCGAGTAAAGTTATTTTGCGTCCACTCTTGGGGTCGGTCAGCTTGCCGGTCTTTTCATCGAAAAGTCCTTGATGTAGGGCTCGTTGTAAGCTGATGGGAGCCTGGGTGTCCATGAGGATGCCGACATCAAAAGCATGTTTAATGGTTATCTTTTGATTGTTGTACACCAATTTAGCGTTGCTGCCATCAATGACACCGGTATCGGCTGCGTGTGCAAGGTTCAATTGCTTGTACAGACCGGTGTTGAAGTCTCTTATTTGGACACTGTCCTCATCGAGGAGATTACTATCGACCGCTTGGGCAAATGAGAGTTTTTGTCCCGTTTTGGGATCCATAAAGCTGCCGTCAACTTCGTCGTAAACATTCTTGATGACCGCCTCGATAAGACGCAAAGGTTTCTTTGCTTCGAGTAGCACACCGCGATCAAAGGCTTCTTTGAAGTCGATTTCCTTGTCGTCATCGTCTTTTACCGTGCCTCTGTGACTATCAACGATGCCAACCTGAGCAGCTTTCTCGAATGGAATGACTTCGCCAGCTACACTGACAATGGTCGAGTCCGGATCTAAAATGCCTCTGCGAATAGCACGTTCAGTTGAGAGTTTTTCGCGAGTTATGGTGTTGCTGAATTCACCAGTCTTGGGGTCATACAGGCCACGGTACACAGCATCGGGTAGACTGCGTTTACGTTTAGGCGGGATCAGTACTCGGTTTTCTAGTGCCTCATTCAGCGACAGTTTGGTACCGGTGTAGGGATTAATGACATAGCCATGGATGGGATCAATATAACCCTTGGATATGGCTTCTGTGAGTGAAATTATGGACTCTGTTTTGGGATCTAGTAGTACCAGCTCATCGGAATTGATTAATTTCAACGCAATTGCTGTCTTCAAGTCGACCTTCTTATCGTCGATTGTGAATTTGGCCGTCTCAGGGTCGTACAGACCTCTTAGTAGGCAATCTACTAGAGAAAGTGGCTTCTTGGTACTAATCAAGTAACCCTTGACAAATGCTTCGTCTAATTTCACGTTAGGACTGCTCAGACAACCTCTCACTGTATCAAGTAGACCTTCCTTGGCAGCTTGTTTGCCAGGCACAATTATATTTTTGTCATCGTCTTTAACTAGGCATGAATCCAACTCAACAAATCCCAGCTCAATTGCTTGCTGGAGGAGAATTTCTTCTCCGGTAGATGGATTCAAAATTTTGCCCGTTTTCGGAGAGTAATATTCGCGTTGCAATACTTCGGGTAAACTCCAAGTTATGCTGTCGGTTTTCACCAAATTTTTCTCTACGCCAATATCGAAGGGGACCAGCGTATTGGTTTGGGTGTCTTTAATTTGGCCAGTTTCCGTTACGACGAGTTCGTCCTCAATGGCACAGTCCAATTTAATTGCCTTCTGGGACTTGGCATCGACAATTAGAGATATTTTAGGATCAACAAGTCCAATTTCTATTGATTTCTGAACGTCAACTTGATTATCAGATTCGGAATCGTAGAGTTTTCCCGTTTCGGGATCGTAGAGTCCCTTGCGTACAGCTGCCTCCAATGAGATCGGCTTGCGCGAACCGGGCACAAGAAAACCAAGTTTGAAAGCATCTTCCATGGGGATTTCTTTCAATGTCTGTATATCAATGACCGTGCCAGCCTGCATGTCCACAACTCCCAACTCAATTGCCATACGCAGCGGAATCACCTCACCGCTAACGGGATCACGAACAGATATCGATTGGATATCCAGCAAACCATTGTTGATTGCGTCAACAATGGAACAAACTCGACCATCGCCCAATATAACTTTGCCACTTTCAGGGTCAATGACATTTTCAATAGCTGCTGGCTTCTCTTTTTCAGGATTGGCACGAATAATCCAGTTGCGGGAAACACACTCGAAGAATGGAATCTTTTTGCCGGACTTTGGATCGACCATATGACCAGTGTGCCTGTCGAGCAGTGGTCGTTCCAAAGCATCAGTCAGTGTTTCATATTTGCCAGTACTGAAATTCTTTACTAAAATGGTCTCTGGGTTAAAGACATTCATGTCAAAAACTAAAGTTTGGAATGAAATCTTTAGGCCGGTGGAGGGATCGGTGAAATATTGATTTGCTGTATCATAGATATTCAACTCGCTCAAGTGTTCAGGCGTCAGGTCGTCACTTGCGTCAATGAGGTACGTCATGGGTTGCAGTACAACCAATTTGTCGTCTAACACCTGGACTTCGTCCAGAGGACTAAGTTGTTCGTCCTTGAGGAGTTCGGTGACACTTTGATCTTGTTCTTCGCCGTCAACGAGTACCTTACATTCGTCGGGTGATATGAGTTTTTGTGAAATCGCATCACCCAAGGCTAAAGTTTTGGGTGGTGTTACTCCTCGTTGTTGGTTTTGATTCTGTGTTTCTCTGGGTGTTTCTCCTTGCGTAGACTCGTCTGGCTGTGTGGTTGATGTTGCTGCTGCTGTTGTTGTTTTAGTTGTCGTCGATGTCAACACAGTAGTAATTGTGGTAGTAACACTCGAGTCTTTTGGTTTTTCATCAGGTTTAAGGGCATCGACAATAGCTTTTCCAGCCAAAACCGGAGCACCCACTAAAGCCATGGCTCCAAGCTTGGCAGCATCTTTGACGTTTTGCAAAATATTACTTTCCCGTTCAGTGGGATTGACTGCAGCACCCTTTTCGGCTTCAATGAAGTCAACGACATTTTGATGTTTGTCTTGATGGTCGGTGACACCGGTTTGTGGATGACTTAAATCTGTTGTTAAATTGTCCAATGATTTTCTCTCCGCAGGTTTGGGTGTATCGGTCGTCTCTTTAACTTTGGCTACATCGTCGTGTTCTACCGGAGATTTTTCGACTTTTGTTTCCTTCGTACGTGTGGCTTCGTCGACCGTTTTGGGAGGAACACTGTTCACATCATCCATATTGTCAATTACTGGCTTAGATTTTGGATCGATTGCGCCCGTCGTTGTCTCTTGGTTATTAACAGTCTCCATTGTACTATGGGTATTATTAGCATCTTTAGGTTCCTGTTGTTCGTTGACGACAACATTGTCTACAGGCGCCTCGCTAGAATTGACTTGACCAGCTGGCAATCCCTCAAGCACCTTGGGTTTTGTACTTGTACTAATTTCGTGTTTCATGAAATCTGTAATAACACCATATTTTTCGGGAAGCTTATCTTCGGGAGCAGTCTCGATCTCATGAACATTCTTGTTTGCGCCAGGAACTTGATGCGTAGGTTCTGCAGGCTTTTGTGGTTCCTCGGCTTCTGTGATATCACCCAAAGGTGTATTCGTAAGAACGGTAGAGGTGGTTGTCGTAATAACAGTTGTAGTTGAAACTGTGCTGGTGGTGTTTACCTCCGTATCCGAATCCTCAAAGCTCACAACATATTGTGGTTGATCGCCTGTTTCATTTACCTCAACAATTTCATTGATTGGATCGGTAGTCTTTTTAGCTGTTTCAGTTGTGATAACAACCTGAGACGGAACTTTGCTATCATTAGCATTCTGAGTACCAGCAACCGGTACTGGTTCTCCGCTTGCGTTTGTTTCTACAGTTACGGATGTGGTAGGCGTGGGTGTGGGTGGAACTACCTGCGAAGTGGTGACTGTAGTGATTTTAGTATCTATGGTTTGTGATCCCGGTTGTTTTGCTTCCGCAATGTTTGACCGGAGCTCTCCTGCTTTCTCTTGCCTTATAAAGTTGGCTGTCGTTGTATTAATAAAGTTCTCAGTATCCTTTACAAGGTTATCGACAAAATCAGAGCCTTGGGGTTTGTCCTTTTCACGAGTCTCCTGCTTGGTCTTTTCAATATTATCGACTCCATATTCAACAACTCCACGAGGTTCGCTGTCTTGTTTCGGCACATCTGTAGGCAATGCTGAATTCTTGTTCTCACTAGTAGAATGTGGGATATCTGCCTGTTGAACTATAATCTTTTGAGTTTCAATTATCTGTGGTTGAGTTTCATCGGATTTTGATGAAATTATAGTTGTAGTAGTTCTGGTGGTGGTTGTTGTGCTTGTAACGTCTGGATGTTTTTCCACAGTCGACACATTCACAGTTGATTGAGTTGGCATTTTCGTTGGAACAGTTTGGACACTTTCAATGCTTTGATTTGGCTCTTCAGTGGGTGTAGTTGCTGATTTGACCAATTGTTTTATTCCACTGACAACGGCACTTCCAGCCAAGACAGGGGCTGCCACAATTCCTAGGGCGCCCATTTTTGCAGCTTCCTTAACGTTGTTTAGTGCCGATGACAGTTTAGTATCCTTTGTGGGAATTTGTTGATTTGTTGTCGAGTCGATGGTCTCCATCGGAGTTTGAACTTCAGTTTTGATTACTGAAGTTTGAATTATTTGACGTTGGGTGCCATCTGATGTTATTGTTGACGTCGTTGTCGTTTGTGGCTGTACCTGTGGCTGTGCCTGTGTAATGGGCTGTTGTTGCAAAATATCTTCAACATGTTCCTTATTACCCGTTACTGAACGAGTCTCTTTAGAGGTTTCCTCTTCTCTTAAAATACCCATAGCCTTTGCCTCTTCGACACTGCAAACTTCACCGGTTTGGACATTTTGCACCTCATTGTTGGATATTAAAACATAGCCCTGAATTAGCTCAATAGTCTTGGTGGTAACTGTATGCACAGCTGTAATTGTCTCCATGACTTCTGTCCTTGGCACGGGTTTTTGTGTAACAACAAAATCACTGATCGGCTTAACAACCAAACGGCCAGTTTCCAAGGCTTGACGAATGGGTGTGGGCGGGCCAACATCTTTGGGATGTTTAAATGTTTGATCTACCACGTTGATTAGACCTTGTTCTACAGCATGATGGACATCCACAGCATCAGCTTGGGGTGGATAAGGTATGGACATGACAAATCCTTCTTCAATGGCCTTTTGCAGAGGTATTTCCTTTCTATTTTCCGGATGTACAACAGATACCTTTTCGGGTTTAAGCAGACCTTTTTCAACAATAACCGGGAAGGTCATACCAACCGGGGGAATCGCCACTGCAGCACATTCAGTGTCGTAACTCTTATCGAATATGTCAGCCTTTAGGGCCTGTGACAGTGTAAGGACTTTTCCATTTACATTGAATGTAGACTCTTCAGGATCTACAATATGTTTCTCAATGGCTTCCTCAAGCGTACACATGATGGGCAGTTTTAGTTTTGAGTATGGATCCAAGACATCACAGACTATAGCCTCGCGAATATTCAATCCATAACCACTCTCTGGGTGAACAATGGTTTGACTCTGACTATCGATTAAACCTTGCTCCATTAATTTTGGCACTGACAGCGATTGAGCCAAAGGTATGAGAATGTGGTTGGTTTGTTCGGGATCTAGAATGCGCTCCTTCACGGCTTCACCTATATTCAAGTAACGATTGCGTTGAGGATCGGCAATTTTGCCTCTATTGCCATCGATTAGACCGCGCTCTAATGACTCGGTGATATTTATCACCTCGTTATGTTCACCTAGGAAGTTTTGCTTATTTTCCAATATATCACGAGCTTCCTCGTCTATGATGCCCTTCTTGAGAGCATCAGAAGGCTTCAGAATCATTTTGCGCATTTTTTGCAACACCACCACCTTGTCCTCACCTGTGTCACTCTCAAAAGATTTGGTTTTCTTCAACTGATCTCGCGACACAATGCCACGCTCGTACGCTACTTCGACAGGAATTTGTTCACCTGTACGTGGATCAGTCACAAATCGTATGGTACGTAATGCACCTTCGGCTGCTACCAACGGAGCTCCTGAAACGATTATCAGGCCCTTCTGGATGGCCGTCAGAATATCTACCGTATAGCCTTCTTGCGTTACAATGGTAGCATTTTGTGGATCGTAGATTTTGCGTGCCAATGCTTCGTTTATTGTCACAGATTCACTGGTCTGCGGATCAACAATCCGGATGAGGCTTTCGTCAATCAGACCATGACGAGCCGCATCGAAAATATTTTCGGTTTGTCCATTGTGGGTGAATATAACCAATGCTGTCGACGGATCATAAATGGCACCGGGAGCAATTTGCAAAGGCTCCGGTGAAGTCAATTCTCTTTGTACGGTGTTCACTTCGACGAATTTCGGCGAAGCATCGGCTGCCAGCGGTGTGGAAATCTCAACCACTTCGGCTAAATTGTTTAGTTTGCTTATGCGCAGTATACACTGTTCTCTGGCCGAGCTCTTTGTTATGGGCACTGGTTCCAAAATGATTTTACCCTCGTTTATGGCCGAACGCATAGTCTCGACATCTCCATTCTTGTTGGTATAGCTTCCGTATGAATCTATAATGTCTCTTTCGAATGCGTTGCGTGTTGATAGCTTTTCGCCTGTATTGGGGTCTATTACCGACACCGATAAACTATTGATGATGTATTTGTTAATGCACTCTTCAAAGGTCACCACCCGTTCGGTTCCTTTGACTTGGAAGACACCGCTATCGGGATTGAACAGCTGTTGTTCGATTGCGTCCTTTAGTGGCCAGCCGCCGGCTGGCAATTCAATAATTTGTCTTTCTTGGACGCTGTGTTCGACATAAGTTGATTTTTCACTGTGAATGAAATCCGTATTGATTTTGCCAGACTTGATGACCTCCTCAGCTATGGGAATTTCCACAGATTTCTCCACGTAGTTTTGGGTATTCAGTTTTATGGGTTCCGATTCAGGCACTATTTGTTTCGTCACAATTGTTATGGTCGACTTGGTCTTTTTGCGATTTGTCGGTTCGGGAACCGTGTCATTTGCATCTGGTTGCAAAAGGCCGAAGTTGAGGGCCTGTTGCACAGAATATATTTTACCTGTCTTGGGATCCTTAAACAATTGTCGTTCCTCGTCAATGAAACCCTGGCGAACAGCCTCGGTAAACGTAAGAACTACATGGTGCTCTTGGGGCTCCTGGGAGCCGGCACGTATTGTAACATAACGATTGATAGTTCTCGTTACCGTTTCCGTTGTCAGGGTTATGTTCAAGAGGCTGCTCAGCAGGAGAGCACCCTCAGGCGTTATAAACTTACGTTCGATGGCTAAGTCAAGGGGAACAGTCTCTTCAGTCTTGGGGTCTAGAAGGTAGCCTGTCTTGGGGTCGATTAAATTATGATAACACAAATCAAAAACACTCAATTCCTTGCCACTGGCATTGTGTACACCAATGCCCTTGTTGAACATTTCGTACACTTCGGGCCGGATAAGTCCCTCTTTCATGGCTACTTCTAAAGGCACATGGGAATCACGACTAGTTTCCAGGGCAAATCCAGTACTTTTTCTACGCAAAATGCCCCGCGATAAGGCCACGTTAAAGCTGACAAAGTCATTGCTGCGCATGTCTTTGAAACCGTCAATGTCAAAAATGGATTTTTGGGAAACACTACTGACTAGGCCTCGTTCCACAGCCTCAGGTATTGAGAGGATCTCACCAGTCATGAAATCTCTGTATTTGGATTCGGCTGGCAAGACAATACCGTCGGCTATGGCCTCCTGCAGTGTCACCAATTCACCCTTGCGCTTCGTTACGCACTTCAAATTATTACCATCCAACACCCCCGACTCTATGGCCTGCATTATACTCAATTTTTCACGGCGCATGGGACTCGTGATCTTCGATTGTTTGTCCAGCAGATTCAAATCACAAATGTCTTTTAGGGTGTATGGTTTAACGATTAGCTGCCGATTTTTGGCCTCGATAAATGTCAATTTCTCTTTGGTAACTTCGTTCCAATAACGACCGGTTTTCGGATTTAATATACCCGATTTAAGGGCTTCGGTTAGTGTAATTTTCGTATCTTTTTTAGCATCTACAACTTCGCGAACATTCGGATCGATAAGCTGATTTGCAATTGCCGAATCAAGTCTAAATTTATCGCCGGAGTTACGATCAGCAATCCAACCAGACGTATCCACTAAGCCATGAGCAATGGCGTCACTCAGGCACAGGGCATTTGATTTGATAGTGACCGATTCGTGGCGGATGAGATAGCCGCGTTCGTAAGCCTCAGCCAGGGTTATGGTCTTGCCCGATTTAACTCTGTATAGTCCCGTTTTTGTATCAACATTTCCAGCAGAAATGGCATCGGCAATATTTTTGGGATTTTCGGCATCTGGAGAATCGTCGACAGTTACCTTAATGCGTTTCTCTGCTGTCTCGTAGCCCGACTCGGCCTCGATTATCTCGCGCTGGATCACTTCCAAAAGTGATAGCTCTCGGCCATTGCCATCACGAGCAGCGCCTGGCTGCAAGAGCTGGTGTGCCAGTGTGGCATCGATTAGACCCTGTTTCACAGCCTCTTCCAAAGAAATTCGCTTGTCGCCAACTATCATCTCTCCAGTGCGCACATCGAGCAGTCGCATTTGTATGGCATCGCCAATGGTTAGAACGCGACCTGTTCGTGGATCTCTAATGCCGGTTATATCCAACAAATGTTTAATGTTTGTTGTATCGCCGCCAGTTCCAACATTTTCGTTTCTCGTCTGAACACGTTTCAGGCTGTGAATTTCGTTGAATTGGATCTGCGACTGTTTCGAGGTGCTGGGAACGGAACCGGCTCCTGCACCGGTCCCATTCGTAGTGGTTGTCGTTGTGTGTACATAGTCGGTAGCGTCGTAGACACTCTTTGTGGTTTTTGTTGTGCTAAATCTGAAATAGTTAATACAAAATGATGTTAGAAGAAATAATGTGCACAAACATCCACATAGGCAGGTACATAGGCCTATGGCTGTTGTCGGTCGCCATTCAAAGCGAAAGCGCATATATATATAGACTTACTGTGATGTGCTGTATGTTGTTGTAAAAAGATCTTCATCGCGTGCAACGTAGCCTTCGCCAGTCGGTACGTTGTTGGCGCTGAAATCTACGCGGAAGGTTTTCAGTGGTTTCTGCAAACTTTCAGCGTATTGCTGCAAATGAAAGCAAAAGTGAAAAGAAAAAGAAAATAGGAATGAATATTTGAAATCAGCAGGGACAGCAGAAATAGTTACGAAATGCAAGTTGAAATGTTTGAAATATGTCTATATCTTTTTACCTGAAATTCAAACGCAAAATCATATTCACGTTCCTCTGCCATTTGATGACAAGCAGACTATTTCTAAATCACAAATTTTCGTATTTTTCTTTTTAGTTTTTTTTTTTTTCAATTTTGTTTTGATTGTTTGATTTTATTTTTTGTGATTTCCTAGGAACTTTGTTTGCACGGCTTAACTAGCATTTGAGCGTTTGGCATGATCATATCAAACGAATGTCTATTATTGCCATTTCGATGGCAAATCACATAAAAAGAATCTGCATTCCAAAAAATTTAGAAAAAAAAAAAATTGAAATTATTTAACTCTGGTTCGAGGTTCGCTTGGCCCACCAAAGAGTGTGTTTACGTTTGTTGTGAACCAATTTGTGTTATGCTCTTCTTTTAGGTACATCTACACTGATAAGGAACGAGTGACGAGAACATTTACATTATTATTAACAACAAAGATGCTGAATCGGACAAAACGTTGAGTTTGCACGGCAGAATGTCGATAAGAACCGCTTCTGACTACAATCGAGACTGAAAGTCTATGACTAATGCATCAGTGGGTGAGTGATCACAAAATGAGGCTTGGAAAACTGGGCTATTTGCAGCGCAAGTAAACCACATCAAATAGAAATGAAGGAGAAGGCAGGCTTACTCCCATTACACAGTCATCTTGATTACACACAAAAAAGGGTATGTCCAAAGTAAATGTCTAGTTTTGAGCATCAATAAAAATGTCGAAAAAAAGAAAAACAAGTAATCTATATATTTTCTATTTATTTTTTCGAGCAGTGTTAGTATGTTTGTTCCTGATACCGTAGTATATTGTTGTTGCAAAAAAATACTCAGGCTTAAACCCATTATTGTTCTTTTTATAAAAGCATCGTTTCTTTATTAGCTTTGGAAAAATGTAAATTGTGAGGATAAGCTACAGAAATATATGGATTATCTTAAGTCATCTATAGTTGAAGTCTTCCATGGTACTCAAATTTCAAACCCCTTGGTCCAAAATTAAAAAAAAACCCTACAACCCTTGCCAATGCTCTTGTTGAACACTTCGAACACTTTCCTCTTCCCTGGCTATTACTAAAGTCATATGGGAATCTGTATTAGTTTCCACGGCAAACATAGAAAAGGTAAAATGTTCCGCGAACTTGCCTTTTTCTTTGAAACCATCAAATTCAAAAAAGGATATTTGGGAAACACTTCCGACTAGGCCACACTCTACAGCCCCAGGTGTTGAGATGATCCCAACAGCTATGAAGTTTCTACATTTCGATTCGGCTAACAAGACAAGACAATATCATCGGCTGTTGCCTCCTACAGTGTCACCAGTTTCTCAAATTTCCAAAAATTCCCACCTCTTGGGTATACTTTCTGAGTAATCTGCACAAGCCACCGCTGCTTGTAAGAGGTACTATTACAACGCGTTTTATCTCCGGTGTTGAGCCATGGGGCTCTAGCGTTATATGCGAACATATGTGATATATTCTGTAAAAAGAATATTAAGACTTGAATAATAGCAACCGCTCTAGGCATTGTTTGTCAAAAGCCATTACCATATTCAAATTCGAAACTTGAAATAAATGGTGAATAATGTAGCTAAAACCATCAAAATACCGTATATAGGGAGGTACGGTTATATCGGAGCTATACGAAGACCTCGACCTGCATAGACAATTTTCCGTCACAGACTGTAGCATCCATTACGAACTTCAAATACCAAGTTTGAAACAATTCCGGGGAATAATGTCGCTAAAACCATCAAAATACCGAATATAGGGAGGTACCGTTATATGGGGGCTATACGAAGACGTGGACCTGCATACAATTTTTTTTTCATAGCTTGTAGTACCCCTTACGAACTTTAAATATGAAATTTGAAATAATTCCGGTAAATACTGTCGCTAAAATCATGAAAATACCGAATATCGGGAGGTATCGTTATATGGGGGCTATACGAAAACGTGGACCGCCCATTTGCGAACTCAACCTGCCTACTGGTATACTGTGCATGTATGCAAAAATTTTAGCTTTCTATCTCAATTCGTTCGTAATTACAACAGACAGACGGACATCGCTAGATCTAGACAAAATTAACATACCCTCCACCGAATGGTGGAGGGTATAAAAATAGTATTAATATTTGTATGTATCAGTGTTGCATTAAATGGAAAATACATTTCCATCAATAACTGATTTACTACAATCACATTCTCTGACGCCTCTCTATTTTAAAGAGAATTTCCGAAGGAAATCTGCTGCAAAAAGATGACGTGATACTATTTAAAGACGTATACAAACAATTTTGAACTTGCACTTCAGTCATTTGTTGTTGTTTTTTTAAGCAATAGCAAACTTAATTTCAGAGAAGTGACTTCATTTTTTGCTTTAGGCTCTATTTATAAAAAAATCACTAACGAACAAATACAAAAAAAAAAAAAAAAGAAACTCTTGATAAGACGCCAGACCCAAGATCTAAGCAAATGCCAATAGTTAATGAGTGAACTGAGTACAGGCAATAAAAGGCACTCGCACAACAATGACAGCAACAACAATACCGGCAATTTTTTTTTCAAGAATAATGATGAATGTTTTTTTTCGCCGTTTCAATTACCCAGCCTCAATTATTCACGATTTGAGAATGGAGGCAGCTATGGTGATTTGAAAGCTAGCTAAAATCTAATGAATTTTTACTGAACATAAGTTAGTAAAAATAAAAATAAAAATAGATTTAGAAGACGTTAGGTTTTTCCTTCAAATGGAGTCTAGAGAATTGCGAAGTGTCCAGACTTGGTCAGCTTTCGATTTCAATTAAATCCTATAATTTCCTCATTATTTATAGAGGATTTATATCGAATAATAACATGAGAGTACAGTTTATAAAAAAAAAACATTTCCAAGAAAAGAAGAAACTGCAACATGTCTTCCCTAACAATTGCATCTCAAGTATTACTGGATTCAAGTAGTGAGAAAAAAGAACTCCAGACACCATTTGAATTGAAAATTGTTCTTTGTTGTTAAGAAGAAAGACAATGGATGAAGGGGAAAACAATTGAATACTTTTGATGAGAACAAAAAAAAATACGCTTCACTCATTTGCCAGATGACCGACCGACCGGCCGCAGAGGTTTCGAATTGATGAGGTCACATTGCAAAAATCTTTGTTCGAGAGTCGGTCCCATTAACGCTTTGTTGTAAATATTGAAGCTATTTATTTTTTATTTCCCATGAAATTGCTTGTTACTTGTAAATATTATTTTTTTCCAATGAATAATACAGTAACCATACAACAACAATTTTGAAAGATAATGTGATTTATAGGAAAATCTTAAAACAAAATCCCTGTAAATTATCAAAAGAAATTTTTACAAAAAAATTTAATCAAGGTAAAATTAAGGTAAATGACTTTAGTAGGGCAATTATATCTTTTTCGAGGAAATTAGGTTCATCGCTCTGTTAGTAAATACAAAATTCACGTTTTTCAGGATAGTAAAACCTGAGAGATCGAAAAAGTAGTAGAAAATTTCAAAAGTCAACATTTCAGCCAATCAGAAGCTAACAATAATGCCACTCGGCCAAATTTGTCTGGTAAAAAGTTTTTAAAGTGAGCCATAATCGATGCCATTGTTTCTTAAATTCGAGTAAAAAATTCACTAGTTTTTCACCTACAGAAATGGCTTCCCGGTAAAAATGCTTGGACAGTTTTTTGCCAGTTTTTATATAATTTTATATGATTGGACCAAAAAACAAGACTTCAGAGGTTACTACCCAAAACATGGTATTTATACGCTATTAGCTGGCATGGAATCACATATCTAGTCATTTTCTAATTCCAAGATAAAATGTATTTAATTTCAAAAAAAAAAAAAAACTCTTTGAATCATATATTTGTTTCCATTTCGAATAAAGTTTATATTGAAGTTTTGCTTTTTATGAGACCCACTGATAAAAAACGAACTATTTCGACTTGATTCATACGAAAAATAATTAAGTTAATATCCTTAGACAGACAACGATAATATCAATGACAAAATTTCGTTAAGACTTGTCAACAACAACAAAATTCATTGTCATAAGCACACAATAGCAAGAAAACGCAACAAAAACATAGCAAAAAGCAAAAAAAGTAGAACTTAAAAGCAAAGCAAAAAAAAAAAAATAAATTATTTAAATATTTTATCTGTTGGTGCGTAGGTATGTATGGTCTTGTACCTTTGTATAAGTATAACAAATAAATATAACGAATACAGACAATAACAACAAAAAGTAGAAAAAAATAGCACCAGACCAACGACAACAGACAGAGCTAAGCGACGACAACGTAACAAAAAATAAAAATAAAAGCAAATGATGTCATCGCTTATTAATGATGATGTTTCTGATGATGGTGATAATAATTGAGAGAATATAACAACAACACTAACAGCTGCTAAGAAATAAAATAAAACAAGTTTTTTTTGTTCCCAACAACCATTTTTTGATAGGAACACTTTCGAAAAGAACAAACCAACAATTTTGAAATCTTTTGAAGTTTAAATTTAACTGCAACTTTTTTTTAGTGCAAAAGCGATATTTCCGCCATGGAAATCTAAAAAAAAGAATTTCCTTTCAATTTCCCGTACAAATTATTCTTCAAAATGCCAGAAATTTAAGTGCAAATGGGACTTAACAACAAACAATATTCTGAAAGATGTCTTTATTTAAGATTATTTTATGTACCAGCCACAGAAATTAAAACCAAAAATTAATTCACATGGCCTGCTTTGTAAATTTTTATAGTGGACAAATTCTTTTATTTTCACAAATCAGCCGATTGCTCACAAATTTCTGTTTGTTGTAATAGTTTTCCTGCAAATGGAAATAAAAAAACTACAACCAACTTCAGAC